GTGATCCTCGCAGCCAAAAGTCGTTTGCAACTTTGCAATGTAATTCCACACAAATTGACACAATATTCTTTTTTTCTGTTTTTTTTTTCCTTTTCCCCGGTGCTTGGGCTGCTCGGAACCCTCCCCCGGGTCATAAAACCCTCAGCCGCGGAGGCATTCCTTTGTGCAACTGTTGGTCCATATATATATGTGTGTCGATGTATGATGAATCGAGATGAACAATGTCCAAACCACTCTATAGCCAAACAATGGCAAAGCTCAAACGACGAATCGAGGCAAGAACAAGTAACAGCATCATAAGCAAGAGACACTACAAAGAAGCAGCGATAACAACGACAGGAGCAAGGTCAGCGATAAAGAGGAGCAATGGCGGCAATTTCATGCCATTTGCTAAACGACTCCTCAATTTTTCAGCCCTCCTTTCCTGCTTGGTGATTACAAATTGGGAATTATTGAAGCCATCAACTAAATGTATGATGCATCAAAGATTCAAAGTGTTCAGTACAGAAAAAGAAAAAGAAAAAGAGAAAGAAAAGAAGTCCACTACGCAATGGTTTTCATGGTCGCGGCTCAGTGGTGTTCGCAGACAAAGATAAGAGGGTTTCTTGTTGTCACCAACCTCGCTCCACTACTCTCCACATGCACAAAAAATGAAAAGTGTGGCGGCGTATCTTCCCATGTTCTAGTGGGAGGTTCATTCCCATCTTGCACATTTGGTTGAGAATAGTGGAGTGAGGCCAAATGTCTCAGTGCTTTCAACAGGGAAAAACGGAAAGAGGGTTTGATGTCGTGTCCCACTGCTTTTGACATGGAATATGATGGAAATAATAATTAATCATTAGATTTATAATTTTATATCATTGTTTAGAAATTAGAATATTATACTTTCTAAATAAAGAAGCAAGAGAACTACTACAGAGAATGTCTATTTAATAAAAACAGAAAATAAATATACATATAGTATAGAGAATGTCTATTGAATGTAAACAGAAAATAAATATCCATATACTAAAGAGAATGTCTATTGAATGTAAGGTTGTAAACAGAAAATAAATATACATATACTATGGAGAATGTCTATTGAATGTAAACAGAAAATAAATATACGTATAAAGTTATAAATACTAAATAATAAACATCTTGTATAGTATGATTACTATCTATCTAAGTGTGAGGCACAAGGCCTCGATACGCCCTACTGGGCCCTATTTTCAGCACGCCCTAAGTGAAGGCAGGCTCAACCGACGCCTACAGGCCATTTTTAGGGTCACCACGCAACTGGGGAAATTCAGGCAGTTGCGCAGCGCCAGTTGGTTGAGAGCGCCCAGGCCCAGGTTGCCTCTTTCCAATGTAACTGAGGCAGGCCCTGGGCCAGATTCGCAAAATGGACCGAACACAGGCCGCTGGCAGTTGGATACGGGCAACCACCACAGGCCCAGGACCTGATTTGTTTGGACTGGGGCTCAGCCTCTCTGGGCCTACCGGAAGCTTCTGGGCAGGGGCCCAGCACAGCCAAGGTGCACGCAAGCAGGCAGGCCACTTCCATTTAGGAAAGTGCCTGCCCACGCATTCGGCATTCGGGCACTGGCTGCATGCTGCGCAACCGCGGCTGCGCTAACGCTGGCCAGCGCTCACGCGCTCATGGGCGAGCTGGAAGGAGCAGGCAGCCATAGCCGAGCTGCGCTGCTGTATGCTGGATGGGGCGCATGGTGGTCCTTGGGTGCATGTGGCATCTGCGGGTTGGGGAACGAGGTTGTGAGTGATGCGAGAGACATACCTGGTGCTTGAAGCGTACGGCATTGGCCAAGATCTGCTCGTACTTCGGGGAGCTGTTGACGTCACCAGCGGCATTGTAGATAGGCTAGATAGGATCTGCCATTTGTAGTCTGGGCGCCGAGAGCCGGATAGGATATCGACATTGGTTCTTTGTTGATGATGATGAGACTACTCGAGCATTGTCACTCATGAGCTTTTGCTGTACTATTATTTGGTGGGACTCGTGATGCAATTCTGCTTTTGGTTCGAGGTCACGACTATCTGGTCTCATGTGT